TTCTTGGGTTGTATGGTACTCTATATTCGTGACCCAAAAGGCCAATGAAATCATGGCGAGGAACATGATTATTACCGTTTTTCAGTGCTGGTTCTAACGAGTTTTTGTTGTTTTCCAGTATGTTGTTGATGAAGAAGGCAATCTTGTGCTCTGTATTAGAATGGAACTTAGAAGGCTCTGCGGTTGCTTGTGATGGCTTCTTGATGATGACAAAGGACAGGAGAAAAAAAAGATGGGCAGAATATAAATTTCCCATGGCATCTAGTGGCTTAAGTCAACAAAGATTTGGAAACTGAATGAGCTCAGGATTTGCAGGTTTCATATGTTGACAAAGAAGGGATAGTGACTAAATGGAGTTGGTAATTTGATTTTATTAATAATATTTGCATGTAAGCTTACAAGAGCTTAACTGCTCCATCTCATCAACTCCATTCCCAGAAGCAAATCTCATTTCTTCCAGAATTGTAAAAGTAAAATGATATCCACAGATAGTGCTTCGGATCATTATATAAAGTATAATAATGTTATGTAAGGGAAGATGTCATCATCACTTTCTATGAAAGAATAAGGCTTCCTTTGGAATAGCTTTTTATTTCTTTCTAAATTAATTTTTATGTACAAAAACTCTTAACGTAAAGAGAAATGACACTTCATCAGATTCCATATCATATTATAAACTCATCTTATCATAAAAATAATCAAAATCGCAATGCTTCCCTTTACTACATCTGAAGGGTAGAAACTCCGATGATAATAAGGATAATAAAGGAAATTCTATTAATAATGTTCCAGGCTTTAAATTTTTGCAAAATTATATTTTAAATGTCTTCAGATTGACAATTATGCAATTGAATGACCTAGTTATAAATTATACATTGATGTAGAAGAAAATGATGAAGAATTATGTGATTCAAAAGATGCTTTAATGGAGCATTAATTAAATAGTTATGTGATTTAGTATTGTGACTTCTAATTAAGTTGAATTTAATTGTTAAAATTTATGTATTTCAAATTTATTTAAAGTATGGTGATAAACATTGTAACCTTAATATATACAATAGAAGTTGTATGAATATTATGGTTAATTTTGTTGGGGATGAAAGTAAATCACATGATGAAACAATCAAGAAAGTAAAAACAGCGGAAAGTAAAGAACTCCGGGATTTAATGTGGAAAAATACAAAATCAGGAAAAATCATGGAGCCACACCACACCAAGAAATCCACTATGAAAATTCGGAGAAATAATTACAAATGTCTTTTCTCTCTCACTCTCTCATTGCTTCTCTCATCTCTTACACCATTATCTCACTCAAAACAAAAGAGAAAGACAATATAATAACATCAATAGACACCACCATTGAGAAAAATGAGTAAAAAAAGAACTATCCAATCTGTCTCACAATGCTGTGACGCCATCTTGAAGCGCTGCGGCTCTTAGACCTTTGATCTTGATCCGTCTGTCGATACTGCGGTTCTCTAATCCTCAGCGTTGCGGCACTCCACAGTGCTGCAGTGCAAAATTTAGAGCGTTGTGACGCTATGCTCTCTGTCATTTCTCCCAACAAGCTTGCAGTGTCAGGGCGCTTGGGAATACAACATCGAGGTGCTCGGGTACGTACACAATACTGTGGCATTGCACAAGAAAAAAAAAATTCTGATTATTTGTTACTATTAGAAGCATACAATATACTAGTGCTCTAATTCCTAAATATTTTTTTATTTGTCATATTATAGGAAGAATGCTAAAGATATTGAAGTTATCATTTAGAAGATATGAACATGAGGTATTTATATAATTTAAATCACTTAATAAGATAATGATTCATCTAGAAATTAGTTGGTAGAAAAAAAAAAACATGTAAAGTTCTACAATGAATTGGGATGAAAAATCACAAAAAGAAAATCTTATATTAGACAAATTTTGTAAAATCTGATTTGACTCTATATCATGAATTGTCAATTACTTTCTTATATTCTTCTCTCTGCTATCTGCTGCTCCTTCATGATTTGCATCCAATACATTCTTTTAGATAATAACATAGAAATTATAACCATCATCAAAAGCAACATGTGCATTTTCACAACGAACTTATATAAAAAAGTTCATTAAATATGCTATCAACTTGATAAATATTAAATCAACAGTTATACTAAAATTTAGCTGCCTATGAGTGTTTTCTTCTAGTATAATTTTTAGCTCTTATGTTTTCTTTTAAATAGAGCATTTTGTTATGTATTAAGTCCCTATTCATAATTATTTTTGTGACTAACAATTTATTTGAAAGATTTTTTTTCGCTTCTTTGTTTTTCATACAACAACCATAATTCCGCTTGGCTGCTATTTTCTCACTATTTTTCAAAAATTTCTATAGAGAAAAAGTTATTTTTAGCAACCATAATAGACAGATAATTTTTCTCAGAACTTCACAATAAATTATATTTGATGACGCATCATTTTTTTTTAATATTCTGGACATGCTTGATAGCAATTACAAAAAATAGCACTATATTGGAAATAATGAGTTTAAATACTTTGAATAGAATAATGTTCCCAGACATTTTCTTGTAGTGACTGTAATATTACACTCATGTATTTATATTTTATGCTTCAAATAAATTCATTTCAAATATGTTGTTATGTGTTTTGCAATAAATATTGGGAAGATAGAGGTTATGCAAAGATGGTAGGGAATTAAGCAAATCTAAAGCAATTATTCTAGTTGAATCGGATAGTAGACCATGTGCTAAGAAAATATATAAGAGAAAAAAGAGATATATACAAACAATAAAAGGTAGGAGAAAACATATATACAAATTTTAATTAAATTAGTTAAATGATTTTCTAAATTGATGGAGTTGTTATTTTAAACTTCTTGTCAATTGAGATTTTATCATTTTATTTTTCAAGTCGATCATCCTCTTGCTAGGCTCGGCCACCACCCCATTTTCATGTATGGCAAAGATATCCACATTAGCAAGCTATTTTTTCTTCATCAAGCACAACCTTGGGCAGAGTGGCTAGCTTACAAGATAAGTCAAGTTGTCGATTGAGTGTAGACATTTGGTGATGATGGAAGGATGGAAAGATGGGAAGCATTGAATTCTAATCGGACAATTTTTTGGAGGGTCCACTTCAAAGTTTCATGTAGATCTCTGACTCTACCGGGTGATATTGATTATGATAGATGGAAAGATGTCGAGGAGTGGACTTTGGTTTGATTCACCACATAAGGGACGAGTGGTCTTGATAAACCCTTGCTAAAGTATGGGAAATTAGATGAAGGGATATGTGATTGGTTGAAGTTTTGGCTATATGATCTCTATTTAGGCAGTACTGATCTACCAATTTATGCTTTTCATCTGGTGTGGGGAACACATTTTACTTTATGTAAGATATTATAGTAGAAAAAAGATTAGGTGATTTAGATATATAAAAATGGAGAAAATGCACCTATAAATTTGGTAGTTTAGGTAATATAAAATGCTCTGAAACTAAAAAAAAAGGAAAAATATGGCCGTCTAAATGACCTAGTTTGAAGTCATGTAATTTTGATCTTTGTGCTCTAATCTCCTCAAAAACTAAATAAAAAAAAGGTTAGGTCAAAGATGACTTGGCTGAGAGTTGTGAAAAAAAAAAAGGCGAAAAAGCTAAGCATCTCATGTACCACTTAGCATAAATAAATGTGTAAAAGGAGCCGCATTCATAGAGGACCTCAAATTGGAGAGATTATTATGTGTGGTGTCCGGACCGTTGGGAAGCAAATCCTAATGATTAGGGGTGTCAATTTTGGGTCATGGGTTGTATTCGGGTCGAACCCGAAACTAACCCGGCACTATTCGGGTCAACCCGAACCCGACCCCTTTTTGCAAACATGTCGGTTTTTCGGACCCGAACCCAAACTGCTTCAGGTCCGGGTCGCGACAGGACTTGAATGAACTGGGATCGTGAAAAAATTGCTAGTTGCTTTTGTCAAAAGACGGGTCAATCTCCGCTTTTCAGGTCAAAAACGGGTCACTCGGGTTTCTGGATCAAAAACGGGTTTTTGGGTCAAAGGGTCAATCCGAATCCAACCCGATTTTTGAAATGGGGTGAATTGTTGAACCCGACCCGTTTCGTGTCCGAGTTTATCATAACACAAATTTTTCGGATTGGGTTCGACTCGAATTTTAAGTTCGTGTCAAGTCACCCCACCTAATGAAAATAGTATGAAATTGATATGCACTCGACAATGTACTATAAGCATATTATATTGAAATGAGGAATATATTCCTGCTACATGTTAGCCACTCTACCTTAGATTTTTATGGCATTCGTGACTGAGAATTACAAGGATGGTGCCTATCTGATATTTACCGCTCAGCTTGACGCCGGAGCTGAGCCATTAGTTGTGTTAACTTCAGGATAATTCAATCCATTTGGTAGCTTATCTGGCTTACGACGCAGACGGCGCCGAACGACTGGATTTGCGGAGGATTTCGTGGATCCAGCAGGCAAGGTATGATTTTGAGCTCATTTTTTTGTTTCCTTTGGATATGGTATGCAGGTCAACAATGTTAGAGTGGAAAATGAGATTTTCGGTTGGAGATGCCCTTAGTCAAAAGTTTTATGATTGTCTTTTCATGTTTTCCAAGGACGAAGAAGAGAAGAGTATGATGTTGTAAGATTATCAAAGAGCTCTTAAAGAAAGTTCATATTATGTAAGCCAATGTCCCTAAATTAATAAAGCATTTTGCTCATATTTCCCCTAATCGATGAAGTTATCCATTTCAAACACCATGAAAAGAAAAAACATCATCAAACCAGACCTCAAACCTGTAGCTTAAAATATAATATTAGAACAATAAAGATCACAGACATCCAAATTGATTCTTTGCAACAAAACTACACTGATTCCTAGAAGAACCATATAGCCACCTACCGCCATATGCATAAATTTCAGAGAAGATGAACAAATAGCAGAAAGAAATCAAAATCACATTTTTAAAGTAAAAGAGAAATTATTAAAATAGGAGAAGCTGTTTCATTAATTAAGGCATTCTCAAGACACAAATACGCATAATTTACATCAGAAGATTTGTTTCCCTTCATTTTCTTCTTAGAATGATGCTGAAGCCCGTGGTGGAGATGGCCAGAACTGAGCATTCTTCACCTTTGAAACGCTGCTAAGAACTCTGAGAGGGGTTATATTCCCAATAATAGTTACCTTCTTCGTTGCCATATCTATCTCAAAGGAAGTCACCCCTGAACAAAAGAGTAAAGAAAATTTAAATAAGGCCTCGATATGTTTCTTTGATTTCTAAGGAATTGGTTACACGCATTAAGGGAAAGCCTCAGATTGATATTTTTATGCTGTAAATGCCAAAAAGAAGCTAGTTTTAAGCTGGAACTGGAAGAAACTTCGGATAACTCTCCTACAATTTAAATATTTTCTAAGAAATATTAGAAATAAAGTTTGATGTTTCTGCTATGACCAAAATTTTGAGATCTTGTGCTCCAATGTTTGAGAAATTTTTATGATCAACTTGTTGTCCCTGCTTCAGGTTGATCCCTGCTGAAACAGAAGCTGTGAAATAAGTTCTTAGGTCCAAATTCTAATTAACCAGAAAAACTCTTGATGAGATTAACCATATATAGAAGATAAAAATGATATTATCTATTTGAGATTAATGAATGACAACAAAAATTAATATAGAAAATGATTAATTCAAATTAATCTTAAAAAAATTAACTAACAATTTCATGTTTCTTCAACAGCTAAAACATCATATATCCATTAAAAAAAACTTGAAAAAATACTGAAAGCAAGCAGCTTTAACTCGTCAAATATAGTACAAGAAAACTCCAAACCTTCCATCTTCGATATATGCTTCCTTACTTTTCCTTCACATCCTTTGCAATGAAGAGAAACCCTCAAGACCACAACCTTTATATACAATCAATTAAAGATAACAAAACTCAACACATTTCTCAAAAAGAAAAGAAAATATATAACTCCAAAACCAACTAAACCACAAACCTGGTCTTGTCTTGCAGAAGAACAAGTTTTGAGAACTTCTATTTCTTCCTGGTAACTGATTTCCGACTCAGTATTTTTGTTCTCAGCTGCAAGAACTATAGCCTTGGAGTTATCGCTCTCTGGTACTATATGAAAGGAGGAGTTATCATTTAAAAGATAGCGAGAAGAGCCAGCAGGGCTAGTTAACTCAGCACTTTTTTGCTTTTCATTGCTCTTTCTGCCATGATTATTATGACTATCTGACTTGTTCTTTATGACGGTTTGGTGCTTTGAAGCTCTTGGTCTTCTTGGATTTCTGCTGTAGATTTCGACAGCTCGGCCGATGCTCGGACGAACCATCGACCGGCGCTCAAGGCTTGTGCATACTGCAGCAGATGCTGGCGAAGCACAGGAGAGATTTACTCCTTTCTTATCCTTGAAAAGTAAGGAAGCCATGGTTTTTTGTTGAAGGTAATATCCAACAGAGAGAGAGAGAGAGAGAGAGAGAGTTCCTGATGGAAGTAGCTTTGGTTAATTGTCTTTTATGGCTGAAGAATCCAAGAGAGGAAGAAGGAATGGGAAATGGTCAAGAGAGTGAAGTAAGATAACAGCTGGTACAAGAAGGCTTTAACCTCTTGTAATAAGTGTGTATATTGCTTGTGAAGATATGAAGAATAAAAAAAAAATTGTGTTGAGGGCTCTTAGTATGAATTAAGGGAGGAGCGGCTTTAATGTGTGTTAATTATTTTTAATAACCTTTAGTAGGTTAGTTATTAAGAATTTCTTGCATATTTGATTATCTTATGCTTACGTTCGAATGTCTCATTACTTAGAATGAAAATTTTATAAATTAATCAATATAATAAATATGTGACATATTTATAATATTTATGATGAGAATCCGATAAAGAGCTGAAGTGATATTTATTAGAGCGGTTAAGGATGATGAAACGCTATTAAATATTTAAATGAATTTATCTAAGAAACCAATTGACATGGATTAGTTCAAACAATCAAATTACACAAATTTTAGTAGAATTTGTATTATTCTACTAAAAATTTAGTTAAATTCAAGAATTTGGGATTCTAGTAGGAAAAAATTATATGAGAATATATTACGAATCAAATGTCCCTCCGAAAATTATGTCAGATATATACAAAATTACACCCTTAGGAGGCATTGTAAGTAAATATGTATTGAGTTATTGATCAGATTTGCCTTAATACTTTATGCATATATGTTTCCTCTTATTCTCAAATTCTTATTCAACTTGGTTTCAAGGTTTAGCCATTATAGTATGACCTACATGAACATTGTTCATGAGGTGAAGGATTTTGACATTTTGGAAGTGATTTGTAATAATAAGTTTTTTTTTTTTAATGAAATACATAATTAAATTTCAGTAGGGGTGTCAATTTCAGGTCACGAGTCGGGTTAGAGTTGAATATAAAATTGGCCCGGCACTATTCGGGTACGTCAACCCGAACCCGACCTATTTTTGCAAATAGGTTAATTTTTCAAACCCAAACCCGACCTGCTTTGGGTTCGGCTTACCCGACATGACCAAAATGACCTTGAATAGTAAAAAAATTGGTAGTTTTCGGGTCAAAATGGGTCAAACACCACTTTTCGTGTCAAAATGGGCAAAAACGATCAATCTCCGATTTTCAGGTCAAAATGGATTTTCGGGTAAAAAATGGGCCAATTTCGAGTCACTTTTGGGTTAAAGGTTGTAAGTAAAGAGAGAGAAGATCATTGGAACTTTTTCATTCATCAATTTTGTTCAGAGATTTCATCTAATTGTTATAAGTAACTCAAATATCATTTTAATTTTCAATGGTTTTGATTATTATATAGATTTTCTTATATTGAATAGAATTGATTATTTCATACTGCATTTTGATTGTAGCTTTTGCATAAAAAAGAAAGATTGGTTGTTAACATTATAAAATGGGTTGGCAGTTAAATATAATAACTTGTACATGAGAGTGGGCCAACGGGCTTTTCTTTAAAGATGATTTTTAGTGTTATTTGATTGTAGCATGTAACAAATGATCGATTCTCCGACGAGCAGAAAGTGATGACTCTTTATTTACTTATAGTTACTTACAATGATAATTAATTAATTGGATAAGCGATAATTGATATGATTGTTGACTAACTGAAAATCGGTTTGGGTAAAAGATGTTGAAAACATCATGTTAAAGCTGAATGTTATGTCTTATTAAATCATACGTTGATGCATGCATATATTGATAGCAATGATGACATTGACAGGTATAATATTATCATTAACAATATTTGATGCATTGATAATACATAA